TGTGTGTGTGTGTGTGTGTGTGTGTGTGTGTGTGTGTGTGTGTGTGTGTGTGTGCATTGCATCAAACATTTTAAATTACTCATTGACGGACCAGATGGAAGTCACCCACTGGCCAGATATAGCCGGCGGACCACCAATTGAATGGCCCTAGACCAAACAGTGTTACTATATGTTTCAGCTGTACTCAGTCTGGCATCATTACAYGGGGAAACTTACAACTATCACAATTTAAAATATCAATAAAACCAATTTCTAAGTGCACATAAAGCAGATTTATGCATGCACAAAAGAATCTGTAACAAGCCAGTTACCAAAGTTTTAGTTCTTACATACAGGTCTACAAACCATCTCCAAAAYATCTTCAGTAAAACTGACAATTTAAACAGAAGCTAAATCAAGGCAGAACTGAACTCAAGCCAAACAGCTTCTAACAAAAAGGACACATTTAACAAAAAGATGCAGCAATATATGAAAAACTGCCGCATTTCTGTTTAGAATTAATAAACTGAACTAGTTCAAGGTCCTGCTCATGGTCTTATACCTATAAAGCACACCCTTCCAGTAAAAGACATAAAACACTCACATCACGTTTACTGTCAAAATTAAATTGCGGGCCTGATCTGCCTAATGCACCTTTCCCCAATTAACATTTTTATAGAAAGATTTTTAAGGGGAGGGATTTATAGGGACAGTTTTATGATTTTTTTCTTCTTGTTTTAATTCAGATGAAACTTAATTTTTTTATCTTCTTTTTTTTTCCTTCCAGTCTGACTCACTATATAATCTGGACAGAACAGCCAACGAGCCACAGACATTGGTATGTTGCAGCTTGTGCCACAGCTATCATGAGCTTTTATGAGGCTAAGTGCCAGCAGAGTCAGAGGGCTGTCAGGGAAAAGATGTTGATAGGCTCCTCCAGTCCCATCAGGATCGCCCTACCATCTGTCTGGCTGCAGCTATGGGACCAAGGGAGGCATCGTATGAAAGTCAGGGGTACTCACTCCAGAACTACTAATTACCACCATAAATCCTTAAGTGTAAATCAGCAAAACTAAAAATGCAAACTTCCCTTTTTTTTTTCAAATAATCTCTCTGGTCATTACTTTTAATTCTAATAATTTTATTTGTTAAAATCCTTCTGTAGGAAGTACCAAAGTAATTATGATGCAGGACTAACAAAAATGAAATTAAAAGTTACCCAAAACCTCAAAAGTAATTCACTCGGAGCACAACGAAGCAAACAGCTGTCATTTATCTGCGAGCCGTCAGAGCGAGTTTTAGCGGGGAGGTAGGAACATAAACTGCTTTGATTTAGAGGGAAGACAGAGGAGCAAAGGAGCGGAAATATAACCTGAGGAGAAACCGACATCATCATTTTCACATTAGAGTCGATACCATCTGTTCACCTTCGGCTAATGTTCCTGAAGAGGGAGGAATGGACAGATGGGAGGATRGAAGAGGATGACGGACAGGGAAGTTGGAGATCAGGACTGCCTTTCCTGGAATTAGTCTCTCCCTTTCATCCACCTTTGCGTTCCCCATGGTGACTTGGTGACTATAATTCATCCTTGGTTCCTGTCATAATTACAACCACTCAGAGAGGCTTCTTATCCCATTGAAATTTTAGAGCAGGGGTTCTTAACCTTTTTGACCTCGGGGCCCAATTTGTTGAACATAAAGTGACACGAGGCCCAGTCAGACATTACCACTGTATGGATCAAAATGATAATTATTCTAAATCTAAATCTTGGTTTAATTTT